CAGTCGAGGGGTCTGGTAAGATTGCTCGGATTGAGTATGGGGGTGAGCTATGTTGCACTTTTTCATTATCCCTCATTATCCCTCAATCAAACAGAGTCTGAAATTTACATGTAATTTTGATGTAATTAATGCTTTCGAGATATCACATTTAGTCAAGTTTTTTAATAGTTATGTCGGTGCCAGGAAAAAACAAGTCATGTAAGTGCTGAAATGGTTATTCAGCAAAGAGACATCTATGTCGTTCAAATAGGACCTTAATCAAATGGGGGTTCCAATCTCGAATTAAGTGAAAACAATAAATACATGTAAATAAATATATATCTCTTTTAAAAAGATATCTGTATTGAAATGACCAAAATATACTGACATTAAGCCCCATATAATAATGATGTTATATTATCATGTTTATGGGGTTTGTTTATGGGGTTTTTTTATTGTATTTACAATGAATCTAGATTTTCATGGAAGATTACAAACTGTTAAAATGCTGAATGAGTACACGGCATAATGAAACTTTTGTTTTCTTATTGAAAATAAAGCAGTTTCTATGCGAGAGGCGTTGATTCATTCACAATTGTATACATCTTGATATGAATGTTTTGCAATATATACCTATTACGTAACTAAACTTATACAAAAGAAAGAAGAATGAATTTCCCTTGATTTGGCGCACCTGTACAGAAAGTTTGCCAAAACACAAAAGAAAAGGAGGATACTTATGTTTTCAACAAACTGTCTCATACAACATGAATGTTTATATTATCTAATAATGAGTTTGGGTACAAGTAACAACTTTTACAATCAAGTAAAAAAGTGTTTAGTTATAAACAGTGCCTCATTTTCTATATAAAATCTTTTGTCTGTTTATGTTTTTGTATTTATCTCATTTTCATTGTATCGTTGAAATCTTTGACATAAGTACCCCATGTTGAGTTTGTTTCCTAAAACAAACCATCATCTCTTGATGTGAGTTTTTAGTTGACCTTTTTTCAAGTGAGTTAAATGTATCTGATATGTCATGGACAATCTTGTTTCAAAGCTCTGTTTCACAACTGTTAAACCAGATTTATTTTGGAACGGTTTTTCCATGAGTGCCAGATTTTGGAACGGATTTTCCATGGGTGTCAAAAGCATCGTCTTTTAACACCTTGATTTCAGGTCAAACATTGAGGTCTCTGAACACTTGCCAAGTCATAAGATAGTTTTTCTCCTTCTTTTATCTTGATTTAAGCGTATATGAAACATGTTTTTAGATTTTGTACCGAATGTTATATATACAGACTCGGAGGATGTTTGGATTAGAAAAGCTATTTTTATCTCGTTTTATTACATGCTTTACTTATTAGTTAGGTTTTTTCTTGTGTATTCTTTCATATCAAGAAGTGGAATAGTGCGGGCAGTGTTGACTTTTAGTTTATTCCTTTTTTATAATAGAAGAGTGTATTTATGGAACACCCAAATTATTTATTAAATGGAATAATGATGCACTGTAAATCATTTCTTATATCAAAATCTTGTATAAAACCTTAACGTATTATACTTTTCATTGCTTAGAACAAAACGTATGTGCTTATTTTGATATTAAACAGCTAAAAGGGTGGAGCAGAGCAACAGACTATTATTTTCGTATGTTTTATGTACGCGTGTTTAATCCAATAAGAATAGACATATATATGTTCATAACGAGAATTCGTGCGAGAAAGACAGTCAGAGAATTTTTCCAATTTATTCAAAACAAAATAAGACTTAAGGAATCTTATAACAGGACTGCAATAGATAAATTTATCTAACTATTTCATTTCATTATAAATAAAACGGTTCTAGAGTAGCCAATAAATGTCCGTATGAGATAAACGGAATCACTGTGTCAATATAATTCAATTTGAATGGTTTTCTGCGAGCACTTGACCCTGTTATCTCCGAGCACTATTCAAAACATACTTAATTTAATTTTATATCATATTTTGTGAGCACAGGAAGTAGATGAGCTTACCCATTGTGTAATCAGAATCAAAGTAAAACAAATATGTATGAACTTGAGCTAAACGCACTATGTGCCAACATCATTTTCTCACTCATATATAATTATATACTGAAACTATGTAAATGACAATACAACAATATACTAAAATTCAAAACGACTTTGTTGACACAGCTATAATGCTAAGTCATTTTTTTCTCATCCAATTTGCACAGTTTCTGGCCAACTAACAGAGGAAATATAAACAGTATAGCTAAACATATGATGGAATGAGCACACAAGAAACAAACAAGCAAAACCTGTTCTTCACCTGCAATAGAATACTTAATCACAATATCTACGTAGGTACATTCTGCTTATGTCTAACGGTGTAAAACTATAAACCTCAAAAACTTCTAGCTAAATTTTTATACAACTTTTGTCCATCTATGTAAAAATATACATTCCTATCGAACAATGCTTCTAAATTTTTTCCGATGTACTTCTATTCGAGCAACTGCTACTTATGCCCGCCTGTTTAAAGCTAAATATGTCATCATTTTATCATACCAAGGTTATTTTAACTTTTATCCATTTATGCGTAAGGTTATTTAAGTCAAATACTTCAAATCCCTTTCTACGTAGGTCATTTCTAGATCTATATATCTAAAATGCTATATATTTTTCATCTATCATTTCTATTAATTTCATTTTAACTTTTGTCTATCTGCGATAAACATGTAATCTAAATAGCTACTGAAATATCTAATGGGGTCACTTCAATTACTAAGCATCTGTTTGAAACTCTATTGGTCAAATATATTATGACATACTATTAATTGGAATGATTTCTGTTTTATCAAAGAAAACAACAAAAGTCTTTATAAGTATACCATTCAATATAAGATACCTCTACATTTTAGAAAAAAAAAACATTAGATGCAGAATTTATCTAAACATGAAAATTCAGTAAAAACATTCAGACTATGCAAAAGTTAGAAAATCAGCTTTCTTGTTGTTCTACCATTTACTTTTCGAGTTTTCATGTAGTTTTTTTTATTATTTATTTTAACAAATACTTCAAAAGCATAAATACACTTAATCCAAAATAGAGGAGAGTTGGATATTTATACTTCTAGAAAGAAGTTGATAAATAAAAGAAATGAATCATATATGTTATATAACGCGTGGTTAATTTAAATGTTGCTTGATGGAGTTTTAATGGTCCGTTTTGCAAATTAATTTCAAAATTTGTTTCGTTTGAAAGAAAACCAATGACTGATAAAGTTTTAAACAGACGAACTCCTCACCTGTCCCGAACTGTATTGCCAATCTGCCTCCATGGTTTGTTAGGGGAGGGGTCAACAACAAACCTTAAACATATTGTGGATCCAAAACATGGTTCAAACAGTTGATAAACATATTTCAAATGAAAATAAATTAAAAACCTTTCAAGACAATTATCAGAAAATGAGCTTTTGATATTGATATAAGAATAGTGCATGTTCATCAACGATCAGCTTGACTTTGAATGAATATTTAAACAAAAGCATGTGGCAATGTTTATGGTTTTAAATATTGTCCTTTTCTTGTAAGGGAGGCTACTACTGAGCTACTAAGAAATTCAGGAGAAAAACATTGTACGAGATTATTCTCCCTTGAATGTGTTTGGCTCGAACCCAACGCAATTACACTGGCAGAACAAGTTCAAAGATAGGGTATCGGATAAATAGTACCATCTGGATAATACTCTTTTATTGTGTATTGACTACAGAACTGTTTGCTGTATGAATATCTTTAACAACTCAAGAAACATGTACATGATCTTTATCAGAAATCTTCCTTACGAATTCCTATTTTCTTTAAGCAAATAGAAACTGCTGACTTCTTATTTTCGTATTTTCATTTTTTATACTTACTTTAATCAATATTGTAAAGGATGATTATTGCCAATACTGCTTTAATTATAAACATGGGATGCGTTTTATTGAAATAAAAATAAGAGGATAATTATTTCAAGATATATCAGGAAAAAAATGAGGCTGCATGAAGAAATACGAAAATAATTATAGAAATTGAATCCGAATTATTTTCTGTAAACGTGTATGTATATACTCATTTATTACATGCTTTTCGGTGGTTTATAGAAATATATCAGTGATATAAAACTGGTAATTTCACTGTTTGAAACAGTGAAATTACCACTTTGATAAATAAAAGTAATGACTTCTAAAACATTGTGATGCCAATTTCCAAAATTACATTGATGCAATGTCACTGACATAAGTTTTATAGAGACTGTTCAGTAGATTAGGAGATGAATTCGTAATATACCTCTTACAGCATTGGCCTAAACTTGGGACATAAGATATCTTATGTCCTAGCCTAAACATATTATGATGAATGATATCGGAAGACCAGAAATATATTAAGACTAGAATGATATACGGAGCAATTTCCTACAGGCGTCACCACACAACACTGACTCTACTAATGAGGAAAAATGGGAGATCCACAATGGCAACGAACATGATTACAATACATTAAAAAGAACCTGGCATCGTCTGAAAAAACGATTAATAGCAATAAAGTAAGACTAATGTATTTAGTTAGAATATCTAAAATCACTTCATCAAAATTACACCTGTATATATATATGAACAAGATCATTTCCTTACGTGTGAAAATATTTACAAAATAAAATTACCTGTAACAAAATAAATAATTGAAAGATTATGCAAAACATGTTCTTAAAATATATTCAATTTAATATAATATTTTTTATAAAGATTCTACTCTATATTATTATGAAAGATACATAACATGTAAATGTTCTATGCACATGGAATTCAAGGTCTTTCTTAGTTTGTTTTCCCGACGATAAATTATGTTGCTTTGATATCTTGAAAATGTATAAAATTAGTATTAAGTTAGTATTTGTATAACTCAAGCCATTAGTACTCAACATGTAGCATCTAAATGCAATATTATTTGAGAGGTCATGAAGGGATGAAGGTCAAGGTCACGGTCATTTACTTACCATGTGTCCTCGTCATCAACTATAGAGTCCTCTCGACTACTTGTACCATGCAGTTCCCGCTCTCGTGCCTCCTTCCTCTCGCGATATGACTGCATTGTCGTCATGGTAACGTGACTACAAATGCTCTATGATTGGTTGTTAGTCAGCTATAAATATGTTAAGTTGATTATCTCCCTTTGCAAGCCGGAAATGATGTCATACCGCTGTTTAATCCCGCTCTTGTGTTATCTAAATACAGCAAAAACGGCAATTTTATTTGCGAAACGTATTAAAGCTGCTACACTTAAAAAACTTTTAACGTTTGTTAAACACTACACCCTGCAAACATGAACTTGTTTTACTGTAATTGTTTGAACTCGGTAAGAAATCTATTTAAACGCAGCACACACATAAATTTAGTCGGAGCATTGTTATAGCGCGACGAAATTACGCAAAAGACACAAAAAGCACAAAAACATCTATTTTTTACTAGCGGTTTTAGACAAAATTACACAAGCACAAATGGTAGTTGAACAATGACCGGCTTGCACATCAAACCGACTATGGAGATGTTCTAGATGAAGGTCCTGTGAGCAGGAAAATCATTTACGTAATTCATGCAGACATGCAGGTTAGCTGGGCAATTTAGATTTGTGCATAATAACAATAAGTGTGCGAGTTATGACTTTGTGACAATGTCAAAGTGGAAAGAGTTATATTAAGTGTTCACGCTTAAATGTACACCGATTGGTTACCGTTTATGTCACTATTTGGGTAAAAGGATGAAATTCATTAAATGACAAAAGGGTAGCATTAAGTTCATATTATAATACATTAAAGTTCATTTTGCCAGAATTTATTAAGCGTAAGCAGTGTATGCGTTATATCTCGTAAAACACGAATGCATGCATTTTGTTATGCTTCAAGATTTTTACTACAAAATAGAACTGCACAAGTTATTTTGAGCAGTAGTGACAAATCAAATGGAAGTTATTTAAATCTACAAAAGAAACAAGTAACAACGGTTTGTAAGCTGTCGCTTGATTGATGGGTTTATATTGGAAATGGTAATGCAACGTTATTTATGTTCTTCCATATGCCTCAACCCTGTTTAGATAATTGTTTACATATTTTTTTTATATTTTCGAGAAAAACAAATGAATGCTAAAATGTTATAGATTTACTGCGTCTTAAGAAGTATACATAAGTAATGGTGTAAATTAAGTGGCGTTCAGTCCAACAAAACTCGGTGTGCACAGATAGTTAAATTAGTTTTAGCCGGGCATATTATTTAATGTTTACAGAAAACATGAATATTATAAATATTATAAATATAGAATGGATGATTTACGTTATTCTTTATCTCTACCGAAGTGTTGGAACAAAATTAAATGATTACTCAAAGCAAGTAAATGTTAAACGTCATCATCGATCCTTTCAGTATAAAAAATGATGTCAGCTCGTGCGCACGCGGTTCTATTTTTGGCATCAATTTCAGGAAAACACTTCTTGTAGAATCAGATTGTTGAAATATCACCAAGTAAAAGTATCTAATGCCAAACCCATCAGAATGATTGTATCAACAGGTAGTTTGTAGAGAAAAGGTAAAGTCTACATAACTCGTTATTGTTAAATAAATTATCCTCATCAATTGTAAATTAGATACTAGCATATGAATAAAAAGGATAAAACGGGTTACGTGTATATAAATTTTTATGTAAATTCGGTCAATTTCTCAATCTTCCATATTTCACATTTTAAACAAAAGCGGTGAGATGAAAAAGTGTATTTACTGTTATAGTAGTTCCTAGTCGTTGGTTTGATTTTGGTTAGAAAAAGGTTGAACTACATTTGTATAATTATATAATCTGGATTTTCTAGGACTTAAAGAAGTTCAAAACAACGAAGTCATTTACATTCTTCATTACAAGAATGCCGCATGAGGTAGCTATAAAGTCGCATTTGAGACTTGTTTAATCACCTTCATTTGAAAGTTTTTTATGAGTTGTGTGTCGACATTCTCTTAGTTCCCATGCCACCGGTTTAAAATAAAGGGGCAGGCCTACGTTGTGCCTCTTTGTGACCACATGAGCCATGTCTGAAATATTCTTGAGGTTGGAATGATAACCGGGTCATTATCTTATGCGTTAAATGATTAAATATAAACATTTTAAAAAAGATACCAGTCTTAAAAAATATAAGGCTAGTTTTAGAAAACATTTCGCGACATGTTCGTGAGAATTTGGCATATACGTATCGCCAATTTTTTGTGACAATCAAAGAGCTCTTATATAATAAAAATTTGTTTATAGAAAATAACACATACTAGGACCTTGACCAAAATACTATGAACTAAGGATATATGAAACACAAAAAGATCATAAAAAACACTGATACTAGTACTGTCTATACTGTTACCTCATTGAACTTTTTACCTGTCGTGTAATTTAGGAAATATGACTGACAATGTGTGAGAACGTTTGTAACTGTACAATGGTATTCGCAGATAAGTGTTTTTTTTTTCTTCTTTTCTTTTTTGTATACTTCTCTAACAGTACGCTATACGTTAATTAATACTCACATTAATTGCATACTTATAACATTATTAAAGCATGACTGCTCTACGTTTTGAGTCATGTTTTATACTTAGTTACACATGTTTTATATACATGTACTGGCATTTGGGGGAAATAATTCCATTATCGAATTTAACGGTTTTGTTTACAGATATCTATACTACAGATTTAAATACAGCTCTGTGCCTTACGGGCATGTACCAAATATTTTTCTAATTGAACATATAACTATGTTACTTTTGACTATCTCAATTCTCATTAAACTAGAACTATCATACCCCCACCAATGTTTTTGACAGAAGACGACTTAGAAAGGTGGTTAAGGAATAACTTTAGTGGCACAAAAACATATACATAAAAAGAAATTATCTCTGGTGAAAAAAGACAAATTGTACAGGTAATAGTATAAATATATATTGTTAAATCATGTTCGAAACAGTTACAAATAACCTTTCATTTTCCCAATGTACTAAAACAAACAAAAGCAGTGAAGTTAAGAAAATAGGATAATTATGTCAAAATGTAATTTAGAGTGAAAAAACGTTGCATACTGAGCTTATTTGTGACCCTTCATATATTATATAGTTTCAAGTGAATATCTGTTCTAGTTTCAGAAACATTTAAGTATTAATGGTTTTATCAGAACATTTTCTAAGTCTAAAAGGTGCATAACTTGTGTCATAATTAAATGGAATTGTAGAATGTTCGCCATCTGAGCTTGCTTGTAACCATTCATATAAATTTTAAGTTTCAAGTAAATAACTGTTCTGGTTTAAGAAATATCATAGTAAATAAATTTAAAGACATAAAAATGGACTTAAAATGGACTTAACTTTGTCAAAATAGAATACAAAGTTAAACCCCCCCCCCACCCCCACACACATTTTTTAGTTATGAAACTTGATCTGCATATCTTACTTGCGACACTTCGTATAGATTTGAAGTTTCAAATGATTATCTGTTCTAGTTTTAGAAATATTCAAGTTCCTGTTAAAAGTTCAGAACTTTTTCTGAGTCAATTTTGACCTTCAAGTGTGGCCTTGCCCTTAAGCTGGCACAAGGGTAAGATGGGTTCTGCACATTGCCCAGTTGGGGTGAACATTTGAGTCAAGTGTGAAGAAAATCCTTCAATTAGTATAGAATTTATAGAGCGGACATGACATATTGTCTAGTATTGATTGTATGTAAATACAAAGACTTAAAAAGGGGCATAACTTTATCAAAATGCAATACAGAGTTATGAAACGTGACCTGCATATCTTACTTGTGACACCTCATATATCTTTTAAGTTTCAAGCAAATACCTGTGTTAGTTTCAGAAATATTCAAGTACATGTTAAAATTTAAGAACATTTTCCAAGTCAATTTTTAACCTACAAGTGTGACCTTGACCTTAAGCCGATACAAAGGTAACATGGTTTCTGCACATAACCTTGTTGAGATGAACATTTGAGTAAAGTTTGAAGAAAATTCTTCCATTAGTATAGGATTTATAGAGCGGACACGACATATTGTCTAATATTTGATTGTATGCAAATTTGAAGACTTTAAAAGGGGCATAACTTTGTCAAAATGCAATACAGAGTTATAAAACTTGACTTGCATATTTTAATTGTGACACTTCATATATATTTTAAGTTTCAAGCAAATACCTTTTCTAGTTTCAGATATATTCAAATACATGTTAAAATTTAAGAATATTTTCTAGGTCAATTTTTACCTTCAAGTGTGACCTTGACCTGACATGGGTTGGGCAACATGGGTTCTGCACATCCCCTTGTTAAGGTGAACATTTGAGCCAAGATTGAAGAAAATCTTTCAATTAGTGTAGGACTTACAGAGCGGACACGACATACTGTCTTATATTTGATTGTTAGATATTTGACCTTCAATTGTGACATTGACCTTAAGCTGACACATGGACAACACGGGTTCTGCACATCCCCTTGTTGAGGTGAACATTTGAGTTCAGTTTGAAGAAAATCCTTCAATTAGTATATGATTTATAGAGCGGACACGATAATGGAAAGCGAATCCATTATAGCCCCCGCCCCCCCCCCCCCATTTTATGGTGGGGGTATAATTAACATTCGGATAAATATTTCACGACTATGGCCATTTATACAACTAACGGAAAATAAAGAAATTGGCCGAATTTACGGAAAAATTACGGAAAGAAGCTTTTGAATGCATATAATAAGTACAAGTTTTAACAAGTTATGGGAAGTTACGACATTGGTTGAGTTCATATACGAAGTATTATTCAAATTAGTTATGCGAATCGGATCAAATTGGTCAAGTTTGTTAGAAGTATAATTCTAACTAGTCATGAAATCGGGTTTTACGAAATATTGATACGCGCAATACCTTATACACTTACAACGACCATAGTTTAATATAATGCTATCGCAAAGGTGACACCTTTTGTCCTCCGTAGAGTCCATATGTCCGAAATTTAGAAGTGGCATGTATGGCACTTAATAAAAAATGCTTGAAAAAAATGTTGTCCGCTCTAAGGATATACATAATATAGTTTTCTACAGCATATTGAGATTGGAGTTAAAGTAAGAGCATGTATTCTAAATACACTGCAATACATGTGTCGGCAGATGTGATAATACATGATTCCTGTAAAACTTCATCACCATGACAGGTGTTGAAGTAGTAGACCCG